TGAATTAGTAAGCTTTATAGAAGAATCTAGAAGTGAAGATAATGTTGCACCAGTATTCAAGATGTCAGATCTTTCAAAAATGTATGGTAACAGATTGGAGAAAATGGGAGCCGAACAAGAAAGTAGAGTCCATAGTACGAGATTGAAGAATAGATTATTGACGTATATACCTGATATTGAGGCTTATAAGCAAGGTCGGGAAAATTTATTAGCATTTAAAGATGACATTAGACCAGCCTTACGAAGGGCGTGTGAGGAAGATTATGACTCAAATTATATGCAGATATATAAGGCTGTGAAGATTGTTAGAAGTGATATGATAACAACATCTTCAGAAATCAATGGTACATTTGCTGCAGATTGTCAAGAAAAATCAGTACCACGATCTCTTTTAACGTTAGTGAATATGTTACTGTATGGACCAGACATAACAACTGATTCCTTTTCCCAAGAAACGTTATCCATTGCTCAAATGCTGATTTTCAACAGTCATAAAAGAATTCAAAAGTTCAACAAACAGACATGCAAAATCAAGAGAAACACCTTCACATATGTATTTGGGAATAGTGATTCATTGTCAAACAAGGAAGATAGGATTAATTGACAAAATCTATAAACTAGGATTGTCAGTATCATATGATCGAATTTTATCAGTATGAGCATCTCTTACCAATACAATTTGTAAGCAGTATCAAGAAGACGGATATGTTTGTCCTCCGTCGTTACGGATAGGCCTTTTCACTACTACCGCCGTAGATAATATTGATCATAACCCTAGCTCAACGACAGCAAAAGATTCATTTCATGGAACAGGAATTTCTCTCTTCCAATATGTGACTAGTCAAATGAATGGACAACACCGAATAGATTTCCAGTTAACGGACATCCATGATGGGCGAGTGACTGAAAGTTTGCCTGATTCATATGCTGTTGTAAAACCAGCTGTTTTGAAGACAAATGTACCTGTTATTCCTATGACAGATAGTGCATGTAAAGGATGTACTGATGACTTACAAGAAGCAGTTCAGAACGAATACAGGTGGATTGAAACTGTTGCGGAAAAGACATTGGTTTTTCTTGGGGAGCCTATCATGCAGAACACGAACATATCAAGGATTTTGAACCATGCGTATCAGCACTTCTACTACTCTTTGAAGAAGAGGCTAAATCTGTGGCAATGATAAAGCACTCATTTGATGTTATAAAGACTAGTGTCGATGCGTTAAATCCTGACCAGAACTCTACGGTGAAAACAAGTTCATAGTAATGTTCGGTGGACTTCATATTGAAATGTCAACGTTTAAGACCATTGGAGATTGGTTGGAAGGATCTGGTTGGACAACTGTGCTGACACAAGCTAATGTTGCATCTTCTGGAAAAGCTGAGGAATCTGAATGCTAGTCACGTAACAAGGACGAGACGTGCTCATCAGATATCTGCATGTTGTTTGTACATCTTGCTGAAGGCTGCTTACCAGGAATACACTGACAATGAGGAAGTTGATCATAAACTGGACATGGAGGAGTGGTGCTTGCAAATGTCTACAGAAAGAATTCAGTTCCATTACTGGTTTCTAACTCTGAAACTTGAATTAGATGCGCTCATTTTCATCAGAGCCATAAAAGAAGGGCATTTTAAAATGTACATAGATGCACTTACTAGAATCATCCCTTGGTTCTTTACACTGGATCATATTCACTACTCAAGATGGTTACCGGTTCATGTTCGTGATATGACAGCTCTTTCCTCTACCAATCATGATGTCCTTGTTGAGTTTTTGTCAGGGAAATTTGTTGTGCACAAAACAAAAAGAAAGTTTTCTGCAATAGCAATAGACCATGCTCATGAGCAGAACAATGCAATAATAAAGTCTGATGGTGGTGCAGTTGGATTAACTGAAAATCCTGTAGCTAACGGCGATGGATGATTGCAGGGCCTGAAATGACAAGGTTGACAAAAGAGTTTGAGAGCACTATAAGTGATTTTGAGGTAGAAGAAGACGAACATCACCATGAAGATAAGACTAGTGTTCAAAAGTCATTTTTGAAGGTTGTTTGGTCGATGGTAGAAGTAATGGATGAGTTAGGGAATCCGTTCATGGAAGATAGTCAGGATTTGCTTGTCCTTGATACGAAGGATATAGCATCAACATCTGTCGTTGATACTATCCGCAAAATAGAGAAGATCGGTAAAACACAGTATGAAAAGTACATAGAAGACAGACTGACAAAACGAACTGTTCCAATTTTTGATCCAATCAAGAAAAATGCAATCGCATTACTTAGAACTCCTCATGGGAAGACTGTTTCGGCAATGAAGGACAAAATAAGCATACTGAAAAGTGATGTGTCGTTATTTTCAAGACTCTATATATCTTGTCAGACAAGAGGTGGCGACATGGAAGTCTTCTTTGCTCATGAAAACAATATAAATCCACCAGCATTGAGCCAGAATGGGAAAATGCGTCTCGGAACCAAATCGGATCTTCTCAGTAAGTGTTTAGAACCATTGACAATAACGACAGGTGATGTCCCTGAGGTGGATGTTTTAGTTATTGACGGAGCAGCAATTGTGAATATGCTTAAACCATCAACATCTCGTACCTTTGACGATTATGCTGATTTGATATTCTGTCCTTACATTAGGAAACACCTGGAAACTGTAGCAAGAGTGGATGTAGTCTGGGATGCGTACATAGACAACAGCTTGAAGGCTGCCACAAGAAGCAAAAGGGGAAAGGGAATACGCAGACGAGTCCAGGGTAAAAATAAAATTCCTCAAAATTGGCAAAGTTTTCTGAGAGCTTGCTCAAAAAAATTTTGCGGAAAAGGTAGTTGTAGCAACAAATGCTCCGGATGTTTTATGTTATCTACCACGTGATGATGTTTCAAGTTTAGCACCATGTTCACATGAAGAGGCTGACACTAGAATCATGGTGCATGTGTCTGATGCAGCGAAACACGGACTTAAACGAGTCGTGATTCGAACAGTCGATACTGATGTTGCTGTCATTGCTGTTTCGCTATTCCGTAAAATTAGGGCAGACGAACTATGGCTTGCGTTTGGGAGTGGAAAAAGCTTCAGATATATATTTATTCATGACCTTTCAAGTGCACTAGGCATTGAGATATCACACACACTTCCTGTGTTCCATGCCTTTACCGGTTGTGATACCGTATCTTCGTTTAGAAAAGGAAAAAAGACTGCGTGGGATACATGGATGGCATTTGAAGATGTGACTTTAGCATTCAGCATAATGATTGATCAGCCTACATCACCAGATATGGAATTTATAATGGCATTGATAGAACGATACGTGGTTTTAATGTACGATCGAACAAACACATCAGATGGGGTTAATGAAGCAAGAAAACAACTGTTTGCGCAAAAGGGAAGACTAATTGAGGCTATTCCGCTGACTCGGTCTAGTCTTTTCCAGCATGTAAAACGTGCAATATACCAAGGCGGGTGTGTATGGGGAACGAGCTTGGAATTGGTTCCATTGCTACCTAGTCCAGGCGCTTATGGATGGCAAAGGGACATAGATGATCAATGGGAACCCTTTTGGACAGCTCTTTCTGAGGCCTCGTCATCTTGTCAGGAGCTTATACATTGTGGATGTAAGAAAGGATGCGGCGGTCGTTGTAAATATGAAAAATCACGTCTCCCGTGCACTGCTTTATGTGCTTGTGATGGTGATTGTTAATAGACATGTGTTGCGGCCATATATCAGTAATTTTAAAGATGTTTTAGTACTTTGGTACTTTAGTGACTATTCTTTTTAAATCAATCTATCCAAAACTGTACATTGAGGATACAGACTGAGTTTTCAAATCTCCGCCATATTTTTTTTTATTGTATTAAAACATTTTAACATAATAGTGAATTATTGGTTTGAGTATAACTTAAAGTCAAAAGTTTAATGACCGGCACAAAAAACACTTTTTTTACATTTTGAAAAAAGAGGAATATATTATGTGATTTTAAAGACATATGACCTATACATTGTATCCGTGAGCAGCACCAAAGAAAGGTTCCTGTACAATATGATAATAGTAGCAATACATTCAAACACATTTCAATTACCCTCCCAAATAAATACGCTTACTTTAGTACAATGTCCGTATTGGATTTTACCGGAAGTAGGGTTTCCAAAGACTTATAATCTCTAAATGTATCCAAAAGTAGCACATAACAAAGGTTCTAGCCGAATATAAAGATAGTAGCATGATTATAACACCTTTTCACATACCAGCCTTCGATATTGGGCTGATTTAAGTATACTGTCCGCCATTTTGAATTTTACCGGAAGTGAGACATTTTTTTCAAATGCTTCCCTATCTGAAATCAAAGAGTAATACTAGAGGAAGCGTTGTGCCAAGTTTCATGCTTTTAGCAGGATGTACACAATTTTTCATGAAGCCGCCGTACTATTCAACTTATTTTGTTTTTTGTTTGTTTAATTATTAAATTTTAAATCAATTTCAATCATAAAATTTAACCCCTTCAAGCTGATAAATGATTTCGGGCAGTAGTAACTCATAACTAACTGTTAGTAGGTATAAACAATAGAACATGATTTACATTCATTCTTCACAGTTAAGAGACCAAAAATCCTACAATTCCATTGGTCCAGAGCACTTTGTTATATTATAATAATAGTTATACAATAATATTGCTAGATAAACACCATAAGAGGACAATTGTCATGAACACTTGTACAAATGAAAAAGCTGATTGTTGTTATATCAACAAATCTGTGTTATAATTTGAATGATTTCTTATCAAATAGTGACGTACAAATAAGTATGCTTAAAATTAGTAAAGAAAACTTAAGCAATAAACAAAATTTAGTGAAAATTTTTAATATTAGATATATATATTTTAAGCAAACAAAATATTAAATTCTTTGGCTTCATAAAAACTGTTTAACTGATTTAGACAAAATGGCAATTTAATAGATTTTAGTAGGATTATTGAGAAAGCTTTTCACATGTTACCCATTATTATTGCCCAGTATTACTGTAAAACCAAATAAAACCAAGTAAAATCCGAGTTTTCCCAGTATTTCCCACTTGGCTTGGCAATATGGATAAAACCCGGGGTTTTGCCAACCCTGCAAGAAGAGTGTAAAATTTCATTATAAGATAAGATAAGAAAACTTTATTTTGATTCGGCATGGTTTAAAACATACAAACATAAGCTCTTGAGAGCTTTTCATCGAATATATATTACAATAACACATATAACATAAAACATCTTCTACGTGCATATGAAAACAAAACAAATTAAACATAAAATGCGAAAAGACGTAATTTACAGTACCTCTAACAGTTGTCCTAGTGCCAATACGTTTGTAGTTTAATTTAAAAAACTAATAATATATCTATATGTAAAACTTGATTTCAACGAATCGTCGAATTCATAAATTAAATCAAGGAAGTAGGTTAACATGGATAATAATAGAACAGTGAGTTCTTATTACAGATCTATTTTGAACAGACTGAAGTTCTCTATCCTTACTTTAAATATTAGCATCGACTTGATTGAATGATACTACTTAATGTTCAAAGATGTTTTAGATATATTCGAGATATATAATGATGGCAGATCATTAAAAAATCTGTTAAATTTATTCACCAATTTTCTACAGTTTGGCATATATATATTTATACAGATACTCATCAATTATGAAGTATGTTATTTAATTAACCTCTTAATGTCTCGTATGTGTCGTTGATTATGTAGCTCATTGACGTAATACTCCAAATATCTTTTTATTCATGTTTATAAATTATTTTTTTCCTCAGGAAAAGGTTACTGGTGAAACATTATTAATAATTTGCTGACCCATTTCATTGGAAAGAAGTGTCTTATAATTATAAAATTTTATTAGTTAACTCAAGATTTAAAACCGTACATTGATGAGACAAGACAAGGTAAACCTATGTAATCAAGACAAGGTAAACCTATGTAATCAAGACAAGGTAAACCTATGTAATCAAGACAAGGTAAACCTATGTAATCAAGACAAGGTAAACCTATGTAATCAAGACAAGGTAAACCTATGTAATCGAACAATCAATATTGAAGTATGTTATTTCATTAAAAAACACAAAATATACGAATTTCTATCTAAAAATAGACAAAAATAAATCAGAAGCAAGATAAAGATTCATCGATTGAAATAATCGAATAAACTCAGTATAAAAACCCAAAGAACATAAACAGCGGAAGGATTTAGTAATCCTACTAATCTTACGACATATACCATATTTTATCAAAAGTTTAATAACATTGACAGTACCAAGTGTATTGCAACAGAAGCGTATTTCGACAATTTCTTCAGTGATGCTCGAGGCTTAAATTTTTGAAAGTCTAAAAACTAATACAAACGTCGAAGAGCTGATAAAACCAAACAGGACCAAAAGTAAAACCAAACCCGGACATGAAATCAGACCTATGCTACAGGGAGATACATTCCTTAATTCAAAATGATTTGGACATATGATAACATCAAATTTAAATCGAACAATATCCGTATTACGTGTTTCATAATAGAACAGAAATTATGTAACTGACATGAAGTGACACGAATTTGTGAGATAAAAAACACAGGCTTATCTGAAACCTTTATGGATTTATTCCAATAATGTATTTATACTTGAAAGGAAAATGAAAAAAATTAAATGCTTTCAGATTGAAAATTGGAAATAAAAGAAATGATTTAAATAAACTGGTGTAAAATTCATAGTTTAGTAATTCAAATCAACATGATATACATTGTATAATTAAAACGATTTACCATAATCATTTTCCCAGTTCCACGAACATAAAAAGGAAGTTAAAATTGTGATAGTTTTGTATAAGTGAAACTATAAAGATCAATTGTAGAGACTACATTCTCTCAGTCAGATTTTTATTACAGAAAGTATTACTTTAACCTCGTTACATACTGATTTTGATTTGTCTGTTCGTTGTCACAATTGTCTTTTTCACATCTTCATAGGTTGTTTTTTTCTACAAGGAATTTGGTTTTGATTGAAAATCGTTGGTAGTCAGTTATGTTTATTCACATCTACTGTGTAGAGCTTTACCCTTGTATAATGTTGGACTTCGTATTTCGGTATTTAGATTGTTCGGTTTGTTGGATTTTTTTTTTTTTTGTTTTTTTTTTTTTTTTGGAGAGAGAGAGTGTGTGTTGTTTTTTGTTTTTTGTTTATTTTTCTGTTTATTTTATTTTTTATTTTTTTTTGTTGGGTTTTCTTATTTGTTGCTTTGTTGCTTTGCATCACGGTGCGAAGATATTAGTTCATTAGTTACGTAACACACATCGGTACTCATTGGTTTCCTCATTATGTGGGACAGATTCTATTGGCTTTAATGATATAACTAATTGGGAACATGTCCCGGACAGGAAAAGATATTAGATACAGAAAAAATGCAGTATGAGTATTAAAAATCAGTTCCAATACTCGATCAATGAATAATTTTGCCTTTATGGTTTGCCCTGCTATATATCATGTCGCGTAAAATTCATATTGATAAATAGATTCAGGCAGTTAATTTTGAATTATTGATACAACAGTGTTATAAGTTTTTATAACTTGATCAAATCATAATAGATATATTGCATGACATGTAGAATATTAGCTTTTATTAATCTGATCGTCAAAGTTACTTAACTGTAGACTGAAAAATCATATTTTTTTTAAATCACACGGTATTTTCTGGTATTACCCCACCAATGAATTTTCAAATCAAAAGGAAGCTTTCTTCTGTCAGTTTTAATGTTGCCTTAACATTTTTGCGTGAATTGGTTGAAGCAAGCTTCAAGGAAGTGTTAATGGATAAACTACGGTTTACTATAATACGTCCCATCTATGACAGGTTTATAATATCACAATTATGAGTATATGCGCAAAGGAGATAAATAACACCTTTCCAATACTTAAACAATCACATAAACCACATCTTAATTAAAAGAATGACTCGAAAGCTTTTAAGAAATCTAAAACTTGTTTGTTTTGATGTTGTTTCATTTTTTAAATGTATGGTTCCTGGCTCGTTACATTGTAACATATACCCCCATATTTCCTGTTATTGATATCCTTAAGACATCACCTGCGAAGCCAATAAAGATGGAAGGATCTATGTTATGACATTCAATTATATCTATTCACAATTCTCTTAGGAAACAAAATGTAGAGCTAATGTCAAAACTTAAACCTCCAACAGTCAGACGTAATTTTGAATATATAGAAAGTAAAGAAGTCGTACGACGCTATGATGTTATAATTTCTCACGATAAGAGCGACAGTACATTGCTTAACCTTAGAAAATAAGCAAAATCGATAAAGGGCTTTAAACGTTTCTTTCTAAACCAAAAAGAGGTTATATTGCTTTTAGATTAATTTAATTCCTGCAAAATTTTATATTCTTAAAACTTAAAGAAATCTACTACCTGAAATTTAGTTTGTGTTTAAGGGTCAGCATATCTACAAGTTTTGTTCACTATCATGTTTGTTTGCAAGTCTGTTCTTGAAATGTTCAGAGACATTATAATGTCTTTTAAAAGACTATACTACGTAAATATTCTATCATTGTTAAAATGCAATTCGAAGGCACACACATATTTCCCATTAAAGTTATTTTACAAGCTGGAAGACTTATTTCTTCGACCTATCAACGTCTTCTCCAAAATGCATATGCAAAGTAACAATACAAGAGGGTTTGAAGGGGGTTTACAGAATAGAAAACAATGGGTAAAAAGTGCAGAATAAAGGACAAAAAATATGAATAATAAAGAATAATAGACTAAAAAAGAAATAATAGAGAATGATGGGGTTTTGAAATATAGAGATAAGGGGTTAAAACAAACAAATAAATAATAGAGAAAAAAAGGTATAAAAAAAATAAATAAAGAATTGATGGATTCTCATCCTGACCCTCATACAAGTGTACAGACAAACAAGAAGAGATATAAACGTACAAACACAGAAAACGGATGGTCACACTAATTATCTACCTTAAGATTCCTCATTCCTGCAGAACCTCCATATAGATTATATGTCCTTAGGTGATACTATATCTTAGGGCTACCTTTTCATATATTTTGAAAGACAGTAAGTTGCTTCTCAGAAGGAAGATATTGCACCAAAGATTCCTTATAGTACAGTTTTATTCATCTCTTTGAACTTTTTACAGGCGCTATAATAGTTTGAATGACCTCCATGGAATATCTCATTCTGTGTGACAGATGACCACTATAATTTTCTACTTGCATGTCATATCTCGTCTTATTATCCTCGATTGTCACATCTACAAATGTGACTGAGCATCGTATTTTAAGTTGCCATGAGCAACATGAAGAGTACCACTAGTGGAGAAGAAACTGCTTACTCTTCTAGAGCATCTGAGTACGATCTACTGGAGAAGAAACTGCTTACTCTTCTAGAGCCCCTGAGTACCACTAGGGGAGAAGAAACTGCTTACTCTTCTTGAACACCTGAGTACCATCAGTGGAGAAGAAACTGCTTACTCTTCTGGAGTACATGAGTACAATCAGTGGAGAAGAATTGCTTACTCTTCTGGAGCACCTGAGTACCACCAGTGGAGAAGAAAGTGCTTACTCTTCTGGAGCACCTGAGTATCACTAGTGGAGAAGAAACTGCTTACTCTTCTAGAGCATCTGAGTACGATCTACTGGAGAAGAAACTGCTTACTCTTCTAGAGCCCCTGAGTACCACTAGGGAAGAAGAAACTGCTTACTCTTCTGGAACACCTGAGTAACATCAGTGGAAAAGAAACTGCTTACTCTTCTGGAGTACATGAGTACAATCAGTGGAGAAGAATTGCTTACTCTTCTGGAGCACCTGAGTACCACCAGTGGAGAAGAGAGTGCTTACTCTTCTGGAGCACCTGAGTATCACTAGTGGAGAAGAAACTGCTTACTCTTCTGGAGCACTGGAGCACCTGAGTACTACTATTGGAGAAGTAACTGCTTACTGTTCTGGAGCACCTGAGTACCTTCTAGTGGAGAAAAAACTGCTTACTTTTCCGGAGCACCTGAGTACCACTAGTGGAGAAGAAACTGCTTACTCTTCTGGAGCAACTGAGTACCATCAGTGGAGAAGAAACTGCTTACTCTTCTGGAGCACCTGAGTAACATCTAGTGGAGAAGAAACTGCCTACTCTTCTGCAGTACTTGAGAACCATCAGTGGAGAAGAAATTGCTTACTCTTCTGGAGTACCTGAGTACAATCAGTGGAGAAGAAACTGCTTACTCTTTTGGAGCACCTGAGTACCATCGGTTGAGAAGAAACTGCTTACTCTTGTGGAGAACTTGAGTACCTTCGGTGGAGAAGAAACTGCTTACTCTTCTGGAGTACCTGAGTACAATTAGTGGAGAAGAAAC